AGAGAAGGCGCCGCTGCACAGCTGGCCAGTGAAGGTGATCCCTCAAGGATATGAGCTGCAGCGCAACCCATACCCGGACATGCGGGCTCTTTGCAATGGCTTCAAGTTGTTGTTCACCAACATGCAGGCCGGCAAGCGGCGGTGAAGGTGATGGTGATGGTTTCTTTTCCTTTTTTTTTTTTTTTCTTTCCTTCTGTATACTGTGTGTAATATTCCTCGGGACGTTCTATCTCTTTTTATCGTTGATTACTGGATGAGGTCGGGATTCTTGGTTTTTTTCTCCTGTGTATTTTCTTGACTTCTATTCCTCTCTACCTCTCTCTCTTTCTCTCTTGTTCTCTCATAAGACAGAGTGTTGATTTAGCATCCGCGTAGCATCTCATGGTTGCGGGTTCGAAACGATTAATTGCTGGGGACTAAAAGAGAATTAAACATGAATTGATTGCATTGCATTGGGATCAACTATTACTGTCTAAACTATAAATTTAGTATTCTTAGTAGTAGATATATCTCCAGTATTGATTGCCCCTGACGCATTAATTTTCCGTGAAACTCCGAGGAATTCCAGAAAACGAGAGAATAAAAAGGTAAAAGGGAAACTGGATGGATCCACCAGGAACCAGATCATCAGTAGCCGGAGATGGACTAGAGACTTACTATTGAGCGCAGTTCTCTGGCCTTTCATGTGAAGCGGACACAAGCTGCTCATCCCCTTCAAAGGCCAATTGTTTGGTTTAAGTTGTCCCTCGGCCGGTCTTGGAGAGAGGGAGGAGAAGAGTGAAAGTTGTTTAGGGTCCGGCTTCTCCGCACCTCCTCCTTCTTCCCCTTCTCCTTGTCCTTACTTCCTTTACTTCAATTACTTCAACAAGAACTACTACTACTTCTTACCGTCTTCCCCTCCTCCTCCACCGCCCCTCCTTTTTCCTTAAAATACCCGCATTCTGTCGTCACTCTTTGACCCTTCATCCCACAGTTCACTTCTGGCCCGTGTCTCCTTATCCGATCGTTCCCGCAATCCAACGTGAGCCGGGCTGCTGCATGACTGGTAAGATCGTCTGCTGCTGCTGCTGCTACTTCTGCTTGCTTCTTGCCCTGCCTCGTGGCTGACGTACAGCTGAGCCTCAGCCTGATCCATCATTCCCTCCTTTTTGTTTCAGCTCTCTCGCCAGTCCTCCGACTTTTAAAAGATCCATCTCCCACTTGGTTTTGTTCCTCATCTTCTCAATTGCTCCCCCTCATTGTCGTCTTTCCCATTCCCCCCACCTAAACAAGGGCCACTCGCGCAACAATGGCGGCCATGGAGGAGCTGGAGATCCACAGCAAGGTATGTTGACACGGAAGTAAGGGGGCGGAGGGGATGGATGCATGACATGCTGGATTGATTGATGGCATTGGACTAACTCCTGTCTCTGTTGTTGCCCCTCTCTACAGTCCTACTTTGTCCGCTGGGTATCGGTCAAGCCCGCCCACACCATCTCCTGGAGCATCCAACCGCACAAGAAGTCCATCAACTTCGGCATCTTCAAGCATCCCGGCCATTCGGCCGTTCTGGGCTCCAACACCAACTTACCTGCCACCGATTCCCCCAACGCCGATTCTAATGAGAACCTGCCCGCGACCGCTGGCGCTGCGGCCTCGCGACCCAATGCCTCCGTCATTGACAAGCTGACAGGCATTGGCCTTAAGCAGATCCAATGGATCGGCAAATGCGAGGCCGAACGCATCTTCCGCGGTACCTACGACGTGCCCGCCAACGAAGGTGGGAACTATGCCCTGGTCTTTGACAATACCTTCTCCAAGCAACTCTCGAAAACCGTCACTCTCGCCCTGCTCACCTACCCAACCGCCCTCCCACCACAGTCAGTTCCCGTCCCTCATGCCTCCAGCCACCCCATACGGTCCGATACCGCTGAATCCGGAAAGTCCCTGGCTGCCCGCCGACGGGGCAACAGCGTCGCTCAGCCGCCGCCTCTCGCCAGCGACCCCGACTCGCTCAATACCTATACGGGCCTGCTTCAGAAGCGACGGCGGAAGCGCCATCAGGGCTGGGCGCGTCGCTTCTTCTCCCTCGACTATACCTCGTCGACCTTGTCTTACTACCACGATCGGAATTCTGCCGCACTCCGCGGTTCCATCCCCTTGTCGCTGGCTGCGGTCGCATGCAACGAGAAGTCGCGCGAGGTTTCCATTGACTCTGGCACCGAAGTCTGGCACCTTCGCGCCAACAATGACCAGGAGTTCGCCGCTTGGAAGCGGGCGCTGGAGCGGGCCTCCGCCCCGTCCTCCAAGACTCCTGCTACCGCCACCGACGAAACCACCTTGCCGTCCGAGCCCTTGTTACGTGTGCCCTCTCAGCGTGTCGCCCCGAACCCCGTCGAGGAAAGGGAATGGGAGCGGGTCGAGGGCCTTGTGAGCAAGGTATCCGGATCGCGCGACGCTGTCCGGCGCCTGGCCAAGGACACTGACCCCAAGTACCTGGGCGGCAATGTCGGGGAGAGACCCCGCGGTCGCTCGCCCAGCCCGCATCGCACGCCGACGGACCTGAATGGAGACGAGTCTGGGGACGCCAAACGCCCGTTCTGGAAGCGCAAGAATAGTACGGCCACGCAACCCGGCGTCAAGCGCACCACGACCATGGCCTCCATGTCCTCGCAGCTGGCTGTGCCGGGCGCCTTTGACACGGCATCCCTGTCGGGCGATCGCAAGCCCAGCAGCATCGCCAGCCCCCCGGATCCCATGGAGGAGGTTCATGAACATCTTATGGCCGTGTTGCGTGACCTGGACCAGGTCGTTAGCGAGTTCTCGACCCTCATCTCCGAAAGCAAGCAGCGACGACACCCTCCCGGCGCGACCGTGCAGGCGCGGCGCAGCTTCGAGTCTGATGTCTCCCAGGAGTTCTTCGATGCCGATGACGGTAAAGCGCTTCTCACAATCAAGGGCGACAGCGACGACGAGGCAGCGGCCGACAACGCCTCCGACCACACTGTATGGGATTCGAAACCCAAGGTGGAAGAAGAACCCATGGTCAACGACGCTCCCTCTGACAGTGAGGACGAGGCCGACGAGGCGCCTGCTGGACACGATCAGTACTCGCCGCTCTTCCCCGGGCGCCCTAAAGCGCTCACGCCACTCCCACTCAGCCCCGTGAAGCGTCGTGCCAACATCACGGCGCCGACAGTCATGCCGCCCAGTCTAATTGGCTTCCTCCGCAAGAATGTCGGCAAGGACCTGTCGCAGATATCTATGCCCGTTTCCTCCAACGAGCCCCTGTCGCTGCTCCAGCGTGCCGCCGAAGTTATGGAGTATTCCACTCTGCTCGACCGCGCCGCCAGCGCCTCCGACCCCGTTGAACGCCTCATGTACGTGACCGCATTCGCCCTCTCTCCCATCTCCAGCAACCGGATCCGTGAGCGCGCCATCCGCAAGCCGTTCAACCCCATGCTCGGCGAGACCTACGAGCTCGTCCGTGAAGACCTTGGCTTCCGCTTCATCGCCGAAAAGGTTTCACATCGCCCTGTCCAGCTTGCCTACCAAGCCGACAGCAAAGACTGGAGCCTTACGCAATCCCCCATGCCGACGCAGAAATTCTGGGGTAAATCCGCCGAAATCATCACCGAAGGCAAGATGCGCCTGACCCTCCACACCACTGGCGAACACTTCAGCTGGGCCCAGGCCACTTCGTTTCTCCGCAACATCATCGCCGGCGAGAAATACGTCGAACCTGTCGGCGAAATGGTCGTCGTCAACGAAACTACTGGCCACCGCTCCCTCTCCACGTTCAAAGCCGGTGGCATGTTCTCCGGCCGCAGCGAAGAAGTCAGCACCAAATCCACGGACCCCTCCGGCCGCGACCTACCTCTGGGTCTCACCGGCACCTGGACCTCCTCCCTCGACCTCACCAAGAACGGCAACCCCTCGGGAACCATCTGGAGCGCCGGACCTCTGGTCCCCAACGCGCCCAAACACTACGGTCTCACGGCCTTCGCGGCGACCTTGAATGAGGTCACTCCCATCGAGGACGGCAAACTCCCCGTCACAGACTCCCGACTTCGTCCGGACCAGCGCGCCCTCGAAGACGGCGACGTCGACCAAGCCGAGGCAGTCAAGGTCCAATTGGAAGAGGGTCAGCGCGCTCGTCGTCGCGAGATGGAAGCCGCAGGCGAATCTTGGACACCGCGGTGGTTCACTCCCGTAGATGAGGCACCGGGAGATGAATCCGTGTGGCGACTGAAGTCTGGGAAGGAAGGATACTGGGAGGAACGGAGTAAGGGCGCCTGGACGGGCGTGGTGCCAGTTTTTACGAAGTAATTGTGTTAGCGCTTTTATCTTACCGGTGCATATGGTTGTAAGGTCTAATTTTATTTTATATGTGATGTGATGGGAATACTATTAGTGAAGTATCGCGGGAGTGCGATGGTGAGTGGTATACTATAGAGGGTATATGGGGGAAAAGTAGTAATATTCTACTCAACTTATAACACTCTCGGTGTACGCTTATCTATCAATTTAGTAACTATTTATTCATTTGCTGCCTCATTTAATGTGCGTGTAATGAGATGGGATTTATTCTTGTTCTTATCCAACTACTTACTATTGACATAAAAAAAAGCAGTGCCGAATTGGGTCTTACTATTGATACCGTCATTGGATTGAGATTAAGTTATGTATTGAACAGTTAGTGAATAGTAACGTAGTCAGCATTATATACACTAGTTAACTGAAAATATCATAAAGCAATAACTGAAGATGATTCCTATACATAGTTATATGTCAAGTATGTATGGATGGATGTAAGCTTTTATTCGTTTCTATCACACTGCGAGATACCTGCGGCGAGTGATATCCGCGTCTGTGCTGTGTTCTAGAAACGGGGTACAAAGTCAAATGCATGAAAACAGGGAAGACCATCACAAAACACCCGCTGCAATAAATCTAACGCAACAGGGAATCAAACTTAAAAAACCCAGTAAAACAAGTGATGGATGTGTCACATGGCTTCTCTAATCCTCGTCCGAGGCCTCGTGGACCGCCCATCGACGACTATCCCGATGTTTGGCCGTGCGCTTGGCGTACCCTCGGTCCGACGGCGTGTCCATGCGCATGATCACCGGAAGGCTTTCCAGCACGGCGCGGTTGCCTTGGTAGTAGTGCGCTGCGAAGCCGCCCTGCAGGGTGCGTCGAAGCGAGCTCAGCCGCGTCCATTTCCACCAGCGATCGATGTTCATCACGCCCTGTCGGCCGATCTTGACCGTCAGCTTGCTGCCGTAGTGGCGGTTGGTGTCTTGGTCGATAGCGGTGTTGTACATGGGTCCGCGACGAGGATTCTCCACCGTCGTTAGGATGGAGGCGAAGTTGCTGTGTAGACTCTTTTTATCGCGCTTGCTGATCCGTTTGCTGTGGACTTTGGCCAGCGACTGGAGTTGCTGTTCAAGCTCGTGCGTGTTGTGGTAGGCGTTGTAGCGCTTGATCAACTTGGGGCCGTTGCCGCGACCTCCAGACAAAAATGTTTCCTCTTCCGATTCTTCATCCTCATCCTCCTCGTCATCATCGTCCTCCTGTGGGGTGTAACTCTTCTCGTACAAGAGCGCGATGTTCTCGCCGGCAGCTATTTGGACGGCCGAATCACCACTGTTCAGCTGGTCCATGAAGATCTGCACGGCGTCCTCGCTTTCGCCTTCAAGATCGTCAATATAGGTCGCGAGCACGCCCCATTCTTGCTGGGCAGCAACAACGCTGGCTGCGTCGTCCCCGGCACCGATCGACTGCCCGTCGGAGGCAGCGATATCCAAGAAGAACGTCATTTGGTCGAGGATCCCATCTTCGCTAGCGCCTGCATGGATGGTGCAGACGCCCAGACAGTGAATCGCCGCTGCCTTGACCGTGTTGGAGGTTGAATCTCGTACAGTACGAGTCAGCAAGGGCTCGACATGCTCGTAGATCGTGTTATCGTAGGCTGAAATGGCGAGGAGCTCAACGGCACGAAGCGCCAGCGTCGTTTCGCGCACACTAGTCTCGAACTTGATACTGCGGTTGAATGCCGCTACCAAGTCGAGAACGCGACCGCGAATTTGTTCCTCGACATAGTGATACTTCGCCAGTCGGCAAAATGCAGCATAGGCCTCTTCGCGACTCAGATTACTACTACGCTTGCGGTCCAGAATATCCTGGATGACATCCCCAAGCTCCTCAACCCAATCATGGTTGTCCAGATCGGGGTTGTCGGTTAGATCGTCCAACGAGCCAATGCTGGGTCGTAAAACACGCATTAGTAACGGAGCACACAAGAGGGGATGGACGACGATGACATCATTCCGTTTTGGGGGGGGGAAACCAAAAAAATAAAATTGAGGGGAAGGGAAAGCTGTGATTATGGAGTGCTCACCTCATGGCCGTATCATCACTGAGACTGTCAAGATCTTCCTCGTCCGATCCATATCGGCTCTGATTCTGAGAGGACTGGCGAGAATTCTGGGCAGAGTTGGCGCGCGAAGTTCGTCGAGAGCCTTCGCGGGAAGCAGCTTTACGAGAGATGGTTTTGCCACTCTCCAACACTTGACGACGCAGGTCCGGCATGATGGATGCGCGCAATGTCGACCAGCTGGGTAGTGATTGCAGAGAGAAGATTGCTAAATGCAAGAAGAATTTTCACGGGGGAAAATGCGGGATAATGTATCCGAGAATTTTTGCTATGAATAAGCCAAAGGGGAGACCGGAATGTAGAAACAAGTATGAACCTGTACTACTAGGAACAAGGCAACACCAAGTGTGGCCGGCAGAACCCGGTCGGCTATACTGAGGGTATGGTAAAGGTAATGGTAGACAGTAGAAAGAGTGATTCTGACACGAAGGACATGGTAAGGCTGGAAGAAAGCAAGAGTGTTGGATGGAAAATCCCCAATGGGTGGATGAAGAGATGGAAGTGAAGAAGGTAAGAAGAGAGAGAGTGAAGGAATCCAGAATGAGAATAACACCAGACAGAATAATAAGAATAATAATTGTGCGGCAGCCAACTGGTCACGGCCCCTCCTGATCAACGCCACCCTCGCTCGGATCCCTGAATTGTTTGGTGTTACTCTTGCTTCTGCTTGGTTACTTTTGATTTCTTATCTTCTGATCTCCTTTACTTGCATTCTTGAGTGAATCCCTTCTTTTTATCTTAACTCTCTTTGGATCTACCAATAATCAGCCCTGTTATCGCCACGTGATGCGGGGTCTTTGCTTATCAGCCCCAAAAAGGCAAAAGTTGAAGGCATCACAAGACGAAAGAATAGACAGAAGAGGATGGTAATCAATTAGTCTCAGTGAAACTCTACTACACACACCCATTATTGGAGGCAGTAATGTTTGTCCATTTGCCGGGGTATCTATTCTCACGAGAATTACTATCGAAAGGTTCGAAAAGCCATATACAACCCTATAGTTGTTGTAGCACCAAATCCAGAATCCGACGAGCCTTGTCGCCCTCCAGATATTCTCTGCCCTCCTTGCCCCGATCTTCTTCATCCTCTTCATCTCCCACCTCCAGATCCACCTGTAAGCTGGCTTCGTAGGCTCCCATCACCGTCTCCTCGTCCACCCGGACTCCTCCGTTGACAAGCACCCGAATGCACTGCGCCAACCGGGCAATCTCCCGACGCGTCTGTGGCGGGATGTCATCGTTCTGACTCGAGTAGATGGAACTCGACACCATCTCCTCCATGCGTGTGATTGACACATTCTCCGTTGTCGACGATGCAGCAGCCGCTCCGTCGGCGTGCTTAGAAATCCAAATGTATCCATTGACTCCCAAAATCACATCCACATCCCCACCTCCATTGGCTGTATTGATCGTCCAGACCTGTCTGCGCGACCGAACCACTCCACCAGCACCCGCTGCACCTCCGGCTCCCGCTCCCGTAGCACTCGCCCCCGAAGTACCCTTGACCGACGAGCTGGACGCACCACTGCCACCCGTCCCCGTCACCGCAAGAAACACGCCGTTCCTCAGTTTACCATACTTCAGCGACCGGGTGTGCAGCGAGGCGCCTCCGTCCGAATGTACCGACTGGACTTCAGCAACGACGAGGTCACCCTCGCTGAAGAAGGTTCGGATTTGTAATTCATCGGCGCTCGTTCGTCGACGCAAGATACCACCAGGCAAGTTGATAGCGGAGAGAGGAAGCTGTGCGAGAAGGGGAGCAGCGACATCAACCTTCCATCGGCGAGACTGCACCTCGACAATGCGCCCCACCACCAGGTCACCGATCTCAGGCGTATAGCGGGCGCGTAGGGGCTGGACGGAGAGCAGTTTGTTGGTCTTCTGAACCGTACCGGCGACGGTGGCAATGATGGAGGTGGATAGTGGGTTAGTGTATGTGCCGTGTCCTCTGCAGTCGAGTGTCAATCAATTGCGCCTTGAGCTGATATAGCAATTGGGCAAAACCAACCTCATCCATTGCGGGTCATCTGTTACAATCTCACCCGGTGTGAGAACTCCAGCGCCAATATTCGTTCCCTCCACTAAGCGAACCCGCTTGCTAGGTCTTGTGGCATCTCCCGCTGCTAGATCGACTCCTCCATCTGAATCCACGGACATGGCGTCGTCCTCCGAGTCGGAGTACGGAACGTCGACATCCTCCACAACCGGAGGGAGAATAGTAATAGCCATAGTGTAGAGATCTGGTTGCCTCTCCGGGTTATACCAATGGCCGAGCAGGCGATTCTATTGCGTTCTGATAGAGGGCGTTTGTGAAAATCGGAGTATTGGAGCTGCAGTCGGACAAGACTTTCGGCATGCCAAGCAAACCAGGCAAACCGCTGGTGGAGCCGCACGTGAAGCCGCATTCCCAATCCGGGAGAATGGCAACACTAGCACTGTTATATTCCTACTAGGTTAGTCTAATTTGTATTAATATATATCGGTTTTTACGTGACTGCTTTCACATCGGATTTACGACATCTAGCTATAAGGTTTCCGTAATTATTGTTGAGGTATATCACATCATATTAGCAGCGCGGGGAAGTAAGTAGTGAAGCCGCCGCTCCAACACATAGTACAGCAATGGATCAGATGAATACGCGGATATAGGAAATTCATGGTTGTAAACTGAGGATGGCCCCTTGGTAACACCCATAACGTGTAGCAGGCTTGTCCGCTCCCAATATTGGAAATGGATCACTATCTGCCGTGATTTCGATGGGACTTGCAAACATGATTGGCAAAGAAGACGTGTGAAAGGAAAGTATGTATTGATACAAAAGGAAAAGATCCGAATATGTCGATCGGCAGTCTCAGGCACCTACGCCCGAAGATCGCTTCGAAGGGCGTTTGGGGGTGGCATTCTCATCATCCTTCTTCTTCCGGCTTGAGCGACTGCTACCACCCTTGGGCCGATAACCGCTATCTTCATCGCGCTTGCGTTTGCCTCTTGTACCTCCAGAGGTGGACGCAGTTTCCAGGATACTGTCATCATCATACACATCCTCCTCTTTGCGTGATTGGGCCGGAGCCCTCTTGGAAGTGCGTAGATTGGAGGGTCGAGAGCCGGACTTTTCCGAGGCGTTTTCGTTGTCCTGAAGAAATATTTGGGGCTGATTCTGGCGTAACCAATTGTGTACAGAGACGTGGCTCCGAAGAGCAGCCTCTCTCTCGCGTTCCGCTAGTGATGGCTTTTTGGGAACAACCTCAAGCTGCTCCAGGGCCTCGTCGTCGCCCAGTTTAGCATCCAGAGTCAGGCAATATTCGGTCTCGTATTCGGGAGTCAGAAACCCAAGTTCTTGCGCAGGATTCCAGTCGTCGGGGTTCTCTGGCTGCAAAGGCGCGGAATGGGGGAATGTCGACAGAGTGCTGTACTGCATACGCGGTGCAAAAGCCTGTCCGCGCTTGACATCCTCCTCCACCTCACGATAAGCATCGCTGGACAAACGTCCAGCAGCCAGTCTAGCCTTGGCTTCTTGTAAGACAGAGCTCGCTACGGCAGGGTCATTGTACGATTTCGGAATGTCTCGCTCGGGTGGTGGTAAGAAGGATGCATCTTCCGGCGCGCTCAGATCGTACCGCACACTTGGGGACACATGGAGACTGTCGTTGAATTCCAGGAGAACTTCTAGGAGCTGACTGCAGGTTGATCAACTGTAAGCGACCGACAAGCTATAGACGTAGGCGCGCAACATACTCATTCTGTGCCTGAATCCTCTTGGACAGATCCTCGATACGCAACCCTTCACGGATGAGAGACTCGCTCTCTCGCATCTGCAGCTCAAACTTAACCTTGAGCTTCGCGAACTTCTTCCTAAATAGTAGATCGGTCGAATTAGCAACGCGCCGCCCCAGGCATTAAGGGGACCACACTCACTTGAATGATCGGTACGACTGTTTGGTAGGGGCGCCCCCGGGGGCATCCGGTAGACTTTCAGTCACGGATTGGGCATCATCAATGGTATGCGACATGATGACAAATGAGCAAAGCTAACAACGAGAAACCTGGATGACGCCTCAAGTTGCAGAGTCGTGGGCGGGTGAAAGGGGCGGACAGGAGCGAAGGCTGAATGAGGCTCGAGATGGCCGTGTTTGGGCCGGTCACGTTTAAGCGGTCCGCCGATCTGGAGGATCTGGTGTTGAGGCGGAGAGTTTCTGCCTGCCGTAAAAAAAAAGTTTCCCTCCGCTATCAGTGATTGCCGCTGTGACTTCTTCAAGTGAAGGTTCTTTTCCACTCCCATTGGCTTTGTTCAACCTATTTCTGTGAAGTAGATTTTCTATTCCATATTACTTCACCCACTACACCATGGCTGGCATAGGCGAGGAAAATCACAAGAAGCGCAAGCTCCCAGAGGTCTCCGAGATCGAGATCGATGTTTCTGCACCGGAACCTCCCTCAAAGAAGGCTCTGCGAAAGCTGAAGAAGAAGGCCGCAGAAGGCCCCACGGATACCACTACGGAGAAGAAAACAGAGGGGACTCCTGCAGACAATGACAACGCTGCCACTCAGAAGCGCTCCGAGTATGGCGTCTGGATCGGAAATCTGCCATTTTTCGCGACGAAAGATGATGTGCGCAAGTTCTTTACGACCAACTGCTCCTTTGCAGATACGACCATCACGAGAATTCACATGCCCAAGTCTGGTGATAAGCATGGAAAAGCCCAGAACAAAGGATTCGCTTATGTCGATTTCTCCACGCAGAAGGCCTCCCAGGAGGCAATGGGCCTCAGTGAACAGCTTCTCTCCGGACGTCGCGTGCTCATCAAAGATGCAAAGAATTTCTCTGGAAGGCCAGAGAAGCCTAAAGGAGAGGGTCAGAACGCAAGTTCGGGTGCAGCATCTGGAAATCCCCCGTCAAAGCGGATATTTGTCGGCAACCTCGGCTTCGACGCTACGAAGGAACTCATCGAAGAGCACTTTTCCCAATGCGGGACTATCGCAAACGTACATGTGGCCACATTCCAAGACTCCGGCAAATGCAAGGGTTATGCTTGGGTAGTGTTTGAGGATCTTGCAGCGGCCGAAGCAGCGGTGAAGGGCTACGTGCTGGTCAAGGAGGATGATGAAGAGGAAGAAGAGTCCGACGCCGAAAGCCGCAAAAAGGCTAAGAAGCCGCGACAGAAGAGAGTGTGGGTGAACAACCTGCTCGGTAGGCGGATGCGCATGGAATTTGCCGAAGATGCCACGACGCGCTACAAGAAGCGATTTGGTAAGGATGGCGAAGGCAAGAAGAACGATATCGCAGACATCAGCGAGGTTGGGCCTGCAGAGCATGATTCGACGGGTGAGCAGTCTCGCCAGTCGCGACCGGGCAAGGCTAGGCAAGGAAAGCCAGAGTATACCAGATACGATCAAGATACTGTCCAGAAGCTCAGTGGAGCCATTGTTGAAGGTCAAGGAAAGAAGATCACATTTGATTAAGGATGGTTCGCGCGCCTTGAACAACATGTGCGCATTTCGGAAGAAAATACACGAAGCCATCGCCCATGAAGAATCAAACCAGATCTCCTTGCTGGGGAAAAGACAGAGCCCTGCAATGCCCGGCTCTGTAATCTGGTCGATGTGAGATCGTTGTCATAGTGAGTTGTGACATGAGTTGTTCCATCCTTGCATGGATTTCATGCCCCGTCGGTCGAGGATCAAGACGGCCGTGGACGGCGCTATAAAAGCATTGAGGATTTAAGTCCTCAGGACCTTGATACCCAACCGAGACTTTTTGTATACAATGTATGTAAGCCTTGAAGCATTATAGTAACCAATGGACTGATTAGCCATTTCCTCCAGTTCGCATTGTAAGTCCTGGCGCCGCGTATCACATGGATGGCTGAGACGTAGCATAGACCGGTCAGCTAGTAGTAGTACTGCTAGTAGAACTCTCTGGTGTACTGGTACATGACCCATGCCCCTTCGTATTGCGCCAGACTGGGTACAGATACACTAAGGCCGATTCTTGCCAGGCGGGCTTAGTCAGGGTAAACAGAACCAGGCAATGTGAGTGGACGGAGAGAGTTAACGGGCGTCAATAGTAGTAATGCTCAGGATGTCGACATACCTAGACCTTAACTGGGAAACGGGAGTCTGTTTGGTAGAAAAGTATAATGTAAGAGGGGAACCATGTTTGCAGAAAATCCAGTGTCATATGGAGTTCTCAAAAGCAAAATGGAGGGGGGGGAGCTCTGATGGACGATCAGCTGGCGTTAAACAACTAAAAGTAGATAAACCGCAGTTCTAGAATCCCTGAAGTGGTTTGGGGAGGACGCTAACCGGATTGAGGCGGTTGACATCGAAAGAGCATGTCATGGCTCATGCTCAAAACCACCAAATCTCCCCAGTTCGTCCATCCGTTCAACACTCCCTGCCCTCACTCCTGAGGTGCACCCTCTTGCTCTAGCTTTCGTGTTTTCTTTTATTCTTCTACCTTTGTCTATTTGGTTCTCCGGGAACGTGTTGCTCGCGGGCTTCTTCCTATCTAGACCTACTAGCTAGCTACCTTACTTCTCTACCCATCCTCTCTGTCTTGCAACCCGCCGCTCTCGCCGCTGCTGGTCGGTGCACTTCGACGCCCTTTCCCACCACCACGATTCACCCCAGCATACCTCGAATCCAACCTTTACCGTGATCTTTTGCTTTCTATTTTCCCTCCTTTTACCATGGCTCCACGACGACACAACATCGGTGCTAGTCGCCGCCGAAGGAGAGACGAAGAGGGCGAAGATGAGGGCTCACTAGATGGAGAACTGGAGGACGACTCCCTAAGCGAAGGATCCATTATCAGTCATCCCGATGAGGAGGATGCCGATGGCGAGGGCAGCGATGAGAGTGATGATGAGGCGTCTGTGACCCGGGATGCGGGCAATACTCACCCTCCCCAGCTCAACGGCCGTATGCCTGCCGGAAGCCAGAAGCTCGGGCGCCGCCATTCAACTTCGCCCGGGAAACGCCACACGGGAACGGTCATGTCAGATACTGAAGCGATGATGAATGGAATGAGACTGTCGGACAAGACAACTGGGGTGGCCGAAATCCACTTTGACGACCTGAAGGGAGAGCTTGGCCAACAAACTGGGAGGACTCCGTCGGCGCCTCCGGCAGAGCCAAAACAAGACAGCCTGACGGACAGGAGGCGTCGTGATAATGAGAAGTATACAAAGGAAAAGGAGGAGAACCCAGCATTCGTGCCCACCCGAGGAAGCTTCTTCCTTCACGACAAACGCTCGACCGATACTGCAGCCAACGGCCACAAATCATTTGCTAAGTCCAAATCGAGACCATACGGTCTCATCGTGGACGGCAATGTGCGCAAGTACGCTTGAGCCTAACCTCTAGCTCTTTCACTTTTGAGGCAGACAGAACATTCATGCTAACTGCTTGCAGGAACCAGGTCAAATCAGATGCCAGCGAAAATAAGTGGACGCACGATCTGCATGATACTGTTGCTGGAGATGATGCACCCGTCTCGAAAGTGCCTGCGGCGCCTGCGACTCTCCCAACTTATCCCCCCAAGCCAGTTCCTACAGCTCCTCGATCGTCCCCGCCCAATAGGTCATTCTCGAGTACTACAATGATAGGGAACGTGCCTGTCGTGGTCTACTTACCGGGCATGGCTCAACCCATCTCATACCCTAATGTTCCAAAGAAGCAACACACCCGTTTACCACAGCACCGTCCTCCTCTACGCCGCGATAAACCTGTCCGAATCTCGCTTCCCGGGCAGCCTGCGCGTTATATCTTCCCCGCAACAGAGCGATCTTTCATCTTCATCCCGCGGGCGCTCCGGCCCAATCAACAGGCCTTCCGTGGGCGTCGAAGCGGGTTCTTTCCGGGACGACGGCCTAGTATCTATGCAGGTTCCACATACACTCCAAGCGTTAGCATCAGTAGGAGGTCGTCCTTCGGCAAGGCGCCCTCGCAAGAAGGATACCACTCGCCGGCAGCCTCGGTTCTCTCCAGGCAGACGATCGTGGCCACAGACAACGGTAAGCCCGTTGTCCGTTTACCTCCACCTCCAAGACCACCAGCCGGACTACCACCCCCGCCACCCGGCCCTCCTACAGCAGTTCCTCCTCTACAACCACAGCCTCAACCTCCAGTGTTCCGGGAGAGCCGTCCGGCGCCCATACCGATGCACCAACCTCGTCCCCAGAAGGCCGTCTCTGTTGCCGACATTGAGACGCCAGCAAGCTTTCCATACAACCCTCCTCAGCCGCAGCAGGAGCAGCCATTCCATCATCAGGTCCCGATGCCTGGAAACGGGCCCGTCTATGGCTCAGATGCGCCCGGCTATGCTGCTTCGGCTCACTCGTCGGTGACACCCTTATCCCATATACCCGAGCGTGCAATCCATGCCCAACCCTTCCAGCCATATGGTTTTCAACAGCCACAAGCATTCTATCCCAGTTCTTACCCACCTGGCGCCGTTTACTATTCTGTTACCGGGACCGAATTCCCCCCGTACAATGCCGCAGTAGGGCCCGGCACCTCTGTGCCTCCCTTCCCTCCGGGGCAACAGGTGCCGTATATGGTGCCCGGTGCGCACACGTCGGGCGAGCAACCGGCTCAACCGGGCACGGTCGCACACGAAGCAGGTGGTACGGTATATTTCTACGATGCTAACCAAATGTATCCAAATTCCTCCTATGGAATGTCGAATGCGCCCGGCGCCGGCGGTGTCATGGGCATGGGCGGCATGATGACGCCCCCTGGGACAACGTACTACTATCCCCAATCTCAAGGCAGTGTTTACTACGGCTCTCAATGAATCGAGGCTTGTGGGTGATGCCCGGCCTCAAGGAATGTCTTCTCCCTGCCTTTATGTTCGGTTTCAAAAATTCAATTTCTTTCTGTGTTTATTTTTTGATGCTATGTTTACTTTTCCCCCTTCCGCCTTGGTCTTCGCCTTATCTTTCCCCTTTAGTCCGCCTTTGTTTCAGTTTCATACTCATTATTGTTGTCCTTCAATTATCCGCCTTCGCTTCGTGTTCACCTTGATCATTGACTTTTTCTTTTCTTTTTCTTGTTTGCCTCATGGAAAAGCGGCAAATTTGTTGTTGATCCCAATATGACGACCTCCCATTGCCTCATAGCCTGTGCCTTTCCTTTTCTTGTTGAGGTCTAGTGTGGCCGGAGCATCGTGCTCTCCTAGTTCCGTCTCTGATTGTGGTTAGATAAGGATTCCATGCATTACTAGCGATCGTCTTGCTGTGCTGTTCTATTTTTACCCCTGTTTCTTTTCATCACCATTTTTTTTTCTTTTCTGCCTACGTTTTCCGTTACATGTTTCCTTTTTCTTGTTTCTTGTGTTTCCGCTTTTTCATGCTTTCTTTTTCCTTAGTTTGCTTGGCTGCCGTCGCTTCCCTGCTGTGCCGTTTAGCTTATGCCTGCCGAAGTCTTCCGCGATGTACGGATACCATCTTCTTCGATATACTCATGACGTTGAAAGGCAGTGGGCTCAGAGCCGGGAGGGGAAAGAACCGGGACCAAGGGTGCGGTGATGTTCCTACGCACCCTGTCGGCGGCGCCAGGGTCGCTCTTCCGGTGGGCTGTCCACGCGAATACCCGTATGATGTCTCTGACCACGCTTGTTTTGCATCCTGGGTTCCATGAACGTAATGCGGTGTGCCTCCTCTTCCTCCTCCCCGCTTCCCCCCTGTCTGTGATGAGCCCTGCGTGTGTGTATGTGTGTGCGTGTGCGTGTGTTTCACTGCGCTCGTTTTGAGATTAGTTGATTGACACGGATGAGGAGGCCGAGTTGTGGGGTGGCGTCCTCTTGTCTACAAAAGCAATAAAAAATACGATCCCAAAAATAGTTTGCAGTTGAAGAGCTGTGTTGTCCGTACCGGTCAAACCAAAAAGTAGATAGATAGACTAGACCAGACCTCGGGTTGGGAAGCGAAGGGGGCCGGGGATGGGCCTGGACGGTTTCGAAGGTGTGATGTGACGTCAGGCAGCACGTCAAGGAGCGTCAATTCCCTCGGGCTACAAAAAAAGTAGGAGGCCTGGAAAAGAAGCCGTAATAGCCGATCATCTCGTAGGGAAAGATAGCAGAAGTAAATCTTGGGGGGAAGGGAAGGTGTGAATGGATGGATGGATTAACGGCCCAGGCGTAAGCACCCTGATCAGCAAGCAGCATCTGAGGCTGTGGGGGAAAGGATTGTTGGTCGGTGGCATGAGGGGAACATCCATGTCGTGATGAAATCATGGCGCCTGAGCTTTAGGAGGGTTGGTGACGAGGTGGGAAGGGCAAAGGAAGGATGGGAAGGAAGGGAAGGGTTTAGGCACCTACGTAGCCAACAGAGCAATGCCTCATTCTGCAGCAGGAAGACTCCACCGAGGATGCAAGAGAAGGAGGACTAAGTAAGACTAAAAGTTGCATCTACATGAGAGTACGGGGAAGAAGCATCGCGACCGACGGGCCGGACAAG